GCGTTAGCTTTAATAACTAGCATTTTAAACGGTACTTCACAGAGCCTGAGTGTCTGTCTTACTGAGATCTTATGTACCAGCACCTCCTGGTGAGAACGGAGTACTTTCCCCTGCAGACACATACAACTCTCCATGGGACCAGACAGGGTGCTGCTGAGGGCGCTGGCTCATGTCACCACAAGGCCACTCTCAGTGACATTGCAAAGGTCACGGCAATCGGGAGGACCCTGGTAACTGGAAAAATGCAAGTGTCACACCCATCTTCAGGGAGGAGGATCCAGTGAACTACCGACTGGGCAGCCTGACCTCAGTCCCAGGGGTTAGAACAGGTCCTCCCTGAATCCAGACCTAGACACTTGAAGGAGAGGGCAATTGGGAACAGCCAGCATGGGTCTACCAATGGCAAGTCATGTCTGCCCAACCTGATTCCCTCTAAGAAGAGGTTTCTGATTGCATTGGTAAGGGGCAAGCCAGGTAGAAGCTACCAGACATGGCAGGGAGGGGCAGAGGGAAGAAAAGAAAAGAAAGCAGTCAGTACTAGAGAACCAGTACCGTATGGGGCTGGACACATGGACTGACAGAAACCTCCTTATGTTCCAAAAAGGCAAATGCAAAGTCCTTCATCTTAGCAGGAACAATCCCATGCAACAGTATGGGTTGGGGGCCAACTAGTTAGAAAGCTTTACAGAGTAAGACCCTGGTGGACAGGTTGAACGTAAGCCAGCAGTGGCGACGACCAGCCACATACCAGGCTCTATGAGAGCAGCACGCAGGTCCAAGAAAGCGAACCGCCTTCTGCTTTCAGCACATGTGAAACTGCATGTGTCCTATTTAGAGTTCCTTAGCACAAGAAAGCCACTGACATAGTGAAGCAGGTGACCAGCAGATGGCTGCCAAGGTGGTCAGGGAGCTGGAGCACGCGCCACTCCCTGGAGAGGATGAGAGAACAGGGTTTGTTCAGCCTTAAGAGAAAGCTAAGAATCAGAAGCAGGACAAATTCTGACAGCAAGACACTGCAATTTCACCCTATTAGAAAACCCAGTGTAAATAGGGAAAAAAATCTTTAAGGAAAAAAAGATTATGATACAAAAGTATGCTACACATAAATTTAGATGAGAAGCTGATTTGTAGGAAACTTGAATTCAACTCTTCTGTTGAATTAAAGAGTTGCAATGTCAGGTAGCCCTTAATCTCTCATTTGCTGTCATTACTGTTGGCATTCTATCCTTCTAGGACCATAATGCAGAGATTTGGATCTGAAATAAGATCCAAACTAGTTACATTTTAAAGTCCTTTTTGCCCTTTCCTCCCAGTTAAATACATTTAAGTTTGCTTGCCACCAGATAACTTGGAAGTACTGTACTAGAAATCACTCTTCCCTCCCTATAACAAAAAGCTTAGTTATTACCTTTTTATTCTAAACAGAAATGCTTGACATTATTATAGCAAGACATTAAGAAATAGGGCTTTATATTTAGAACCAAATGTTATGTTTACTGTTCTATCTAATCATGTTCTATACTCAGATACTGTGAAAATTTTTCCTACTGATACGACCTGAAATATGTAATTCTTCTAGCATGAAGTCACAGTACTGGAGCAGTACAGCACACCGTCTAAGAAATCCTTTAACATTCCTGATACTTTAAAATGACATTATCTGTTGCTTCCTTAGGACACTGCCTTCATTCGACAAGAAAGGAAGTTGCTGGGTTATAATGACATGCATCGTTGTGGCAAAACTCGTATCCAGTAGGATTAGGCTAGCCCTCAAGCCGTTCTTGCCAGCCTAGTTTATTTGGAAACCTGCCACACTCTTCAGCTCAGCCACTGCCTTGTTCTACAGTTTGAGAGTGAATACCTTTAAAGGAAGTAGGGCGCAGTAAAGTTTCTGAGAACTTTCTGTTTTCTACTACCTTGCTTTAGTGACAGAGCTTTTAAATGGGATATCCTGATGCAGGTACCTGGCACTGCCACAGCCAAAGCATTTTTTTCATTTTCTTTAGTAACTGTAAGAAAGGCAGGAAGAGCAAACTTTCATCATTTGTATAACAACATCCAAGTCATTGTGTGAGAACATTGTAGGTTTCATACTTTAAAACTTAGTTGGAAGTTTCCACTGTGATCAGCAATGAAAAAATGCAGCTTATTTTTCCCCTTAATATGAAAACATTCCTGAAGAATAGTTTCTGAAACTGCACACAGTCAGATACACTGCAGGTGCAGAAGTCTACTTAGCAGCTGAAAAAATGTTAGCAAGAAAAAGCGAGTTTGTAAAATAGCATGAAGAAGAGAGGACAGAAAGAGCAGGAACTGCTTTCTGCTAGAAGGCTACATGAAGCTCGTGAGAGCAGCTGCCATGACAGTTGCCTTCAGCAGCTCATACAGGAATTGCGTTGCACTTCTCAGCAGGAGCGTGGCCATACCTCTGCTCCAGATCATTACCACAGTGGTCAGTTGGGGTTGCAGCCTGTTCTCTGAATTCAGCCTGTAAGAACTCTGATTACCTGAAGGACTGCGACATGCACCACTGCTTGGCACACTGAGGCAATACACACGCACAATACACACACACAGCACTAGCTAAGACTAGTAGTAAAGAAGTTGGTTCTGAAAGCCAATAAAGTGGATAAGGCATGAACCAATGACTGGTACACACAGCCACATATGCCACTTTCTGTTTGACACACCGCTCTTAACTAAGCATGCTTTCTCAAAATCACTTTATTTCATTCTTGTCAGAAAAACTATGCAATACTTTTCATTAATTCTGAAAGCTTAAACACAGATCTGGAATCACGCCAGAAAATTGCACTGAAATATCTACAGAGCAGTCAAGCTCTAAACAGCTAGCAGTACTGAGATTTACCTTTTTGCTGGCACTGGAGAACAGGCACAGGAGTAGCCTTCCAGGAAGAACATCCTGAAAATGAAGACAAGGACAACAGGGCGAGGGGGAAGAAGGAAAAGTCAGACAAATAACAGTGCCTTTAAGGTGTGGAGGGGAAGAGGACGGAAGACGCATGAACTTTTTAGCAGAGATGACTAAACCTTAAACACAAATGCAGAAAAAGAAGGGCAGGTGGGACTTCATCAGCTGAAACAAAGACAACACTTAATTTGATTCGGCACATTGAATGACATTCCTCTTGCTTTGCACAAATAGAATAAAATCAGTGGATTTTGAACTTTAAGGACTCCTATCCTTTTACATGGTAAGGCCAAAACTTCAAAGGAAGTTTCCATAACTCATCATAAAAGAAATGTTTCCGTAAAACTGCATTAAAGGTTTACAGTCAGCTGTACTACCTTTTACATGAGATGAAGCTTGGTCAGTTTCCTACTAATAAGCTTTTTTTCTGAAACTGTAACTAAAGATCCAGCAATATAGGTTCCACACAGCAAAAGCTTTTGCTGTTACCGTTCTAAATGATGCACAATTCCCAACAGCCTCAGAAAATAAACCCAAAGATAACTCACAGGGTTATGGTTTCCTCAGGTTCTCTTCAGAGTGGGGAGCAAAAGGGGAAGGGAGGAAGGAAAGGGACACAGGAATTTATGCATTTCTAAACTAAAGCTCATGCCTTGAGCCTGAAAAAGCTCAAGATTCCCCCTCCTCCACCTTCCTCCATTTTTACGTCACTTAGCAAATTACCTCTAGTTTTCCTTAGGTCACTTGGAGTCTCTAAGGATGCTTCTCAATTGGGGGCAGGGCAGTAGGGCAATACTGACAGTCTCTCGCAGGAATTCCCAACGGTCTAACAGACATTGTTCAGAGAAAGAAAAGGCTCTGAAAAAAGATACTCACAGTCCAATTGAAAAATCCCTCTCCTGGCTACCAATTTTACATTCTTTGCAAACACTATCAACACTGTGCAGACTTCTCCTGTTGTTGGTCCTCTACCCCTGGCACAACTCTAATTCTTCTAATTTCAAAGGAAAAAAGAAAAAAAAAACAAAACAAGAGAAGGGAAAAGGATGGGAAGAAGGAAAAGGAAGAACAAAAAAACCAATCAAACCATTTCTGATACTCTACACACTCATCAAGGTGTATATTTTTCTTTTAAACTGACTAAAAAGCTTCCACCAAAGTTTAAATGAAAACTTTTAATATTTATTTTTATACATTCTAAAAGCAGAAATGAAAAAAAAAAAAAACAATCAAAATTAAGACCAACATTAAATATACATATACAACAGGTTTGTAGCACAAGTATTTGACTATGCTATTGAAAGGTTAGACAAGTAATCATAAGAGTTAATGAATAAGGTTGCCTGTGGGTTTAAAACTATTAGAAATGATTAACATTAACATGACAAAAAATAGATTCCCCCTACATTATTCTTTTCTGTTAATAAAAGATTTTAAAATATTTGGCTTTTTTGTTTGTTTGTTTGATTTTTTAAAATATACAGCTTTTTATCTCATTTATGTATAGGGTTGGGTTTTTTCCTCCGCACACCTGAACATTTAGAAGAAAATCTTTCATTTCTCGACACTTCAGGTTCTTGCACACTGAATATATATTCGAGTTTTCAGGTTGGCATAGTCCGAAGTGACTGCATTTAAACAATAACTCTTCGTTTAAATTTACTCAACTGCTTTCCACCAAGAAAAGACTGATAGTCTCCTATAGCTACCTTTTAACAATCAGGTAAGTAATCATCCTTGAAAAAGTATATGAAATGGTTTGTTCATTGTTATCCATTTCCTAACAAATTCTGCTACTCCAGATCACCAGTCAAGGACATGGAGGATTTTGCAGAAGGAAAATTATATAGGAATATTTTAAATCAATATTTGAAAGCTTATTTCAATACTATCACCATAAAAAACAAACTGCTAAGTTTCGCTCCAACAAGTCATCTCCTCCTCTCACTTTTCCATTATAGCTCCTCATAAGAGAAAAGACATACCACTTAACTTTAACTTTCAACAGTCCTTCACGGAAAATCTGACTTAAATGTTTCCTAACATACAGTCTGCAAGTTTGCACATGTTATTTATTCAAACGTTTCTTCAATTGTTCTAGATGCCTTGCATCAGCATCCTGGAGAATTAATACAGTGGCTTTAGACTGAAGTGGATTAAACTCTATAGTCATCAAACAGCAGAGATCTATCAGTTGTTTTTGACATTTCTCTAAACCATCCTTAAGCTTCAGATGTAAAGCTGGATCCTTTTTCAGCCTATTCATTTCAGGCACAGAAAAGCCAATCAAACTTGTTAGAATATCATCAGCAAAATCTACTTCAAGATAAGCTGAACCATCAGAAATTCTTGCCTTTATACCCCAGGACCCATTGCTGCTTGTGAGGTTTCCAGTGAGAGTAACAAGAAAACACTTAACTTTCAGAATTGTAACAGTTTCTGGTTTTTTTGCAAGGAGAAGAGAAATATATGTGAAAGGTGGAGAATCCAAATCCAAATTTGCCTCTACTGCTCTGCAAGGAAAGGTCTGTGAATCATGCTTCTGCTGATCTGCTTCTGGATCCATTTTTGAGAAAAATACAAGATCATCATTTAACAGCCTGCTGTCAGAAGTGTGCTGGGATTTACAACTGCTGTCATCTAGGTCTGTATCATTCTGCCTTTCTTCAGTAGGATTTTCCAAAGAAAAATCTGAAGAACTGCAGGTCTGATGGATGCTCTCATGCTGTAGAAAGCTACTCATATTATTTCCATCTCCATCAAATACTGGACTTCCAAAAGTCTTTTGCTTGCTGGTAGCTTCTACAGGCTTATCTTTTTCATTCACATCAGCTTTTTCACAAGTGCCATTTAAAGATGAATTGCAGGAGCTTCTAGATTTATGTGGAAGTCTCTCAGTAATTAAATTTATGTTTCTGTTCATGACCACTGGCGGCACTTCTTCCAGCTCTATTTGCATCTCTTCTTCCAGAAGAAAGTCATCTTCTAAAGGAAAGTAATTTAAAAAGCCATCAACATACTCTATGGGAAGTGAAACTTGTTCATCTGAATGAGGCAAAGGACTTCCAGATTCCCGTAGCAAAACATTTCCATTGTGTGCAGTCAGTGAACCTGAGGCTGTACTAAAATTGTTGCTTCTACTGCAGTATCCACTTTCTAAAGATGTTTCGTTGTTTAAAGTAAATTCATTATTTTCATCAAGACTGGCTAAAAGCTCTTCATCCGAAGGGCCTAGAGTTTGTTCTAATTCATCCACAGGCCTTGAAACAATTTGGTCATGACCAGCTTGTCCAACAGAATTAGGGTTTTCAGTTTCTCCAATTAATCTAGCAAGGACTCTTTCCTGAGAATACTCCTCCAGAAGAGCATCCACTTCACCCCCCAACAGTTTCACATTTTCTGGTTTAAGCAGAAGGACTCCAAGACGATATGCAATATTACCCTGTACAGTGATTTTTGTTCCAGGAGGAAGATTACTGTGGAGGACAGGGACAGGTTGATACTCCATGCCCTGAATTTGATGTATCCCATCAGTTAGTTGCAGCATCAGCATTCGAGTAGGCTTTGCTTCCCAGGGCTTCTGGAATGCCTGAGTACTGGCCGTTACTTCTTCATTTACAGTATTTTTCCCTCTTAGCTTCTGCAACTGGGAATATGCTGGCTGGCTAACATCAACCAGTGAATCAATCTGTATGGAGTAGAAGCCTGACAACTCGCCTTTGGGAGAATCTAAGATGCAGTCAGGCAAAATGGGATATTCTAAATCTCTTAGATCGGTAAGAAGCCATTGCTCAAATACCTGCCTGTTAATCTGAGCTTGACTTAGGTTACTACCACTATTTTCTTCCTGGATCCAACTAATACATGCTTCCAGCCACGTCAAAGGAACTTTAACATGCCACGTTGATGAAAGCCAAGTTTCCACTCTTGCTGCAATGTTAGATGTAGACATTTTCTTTTAAGTTAAGAGAGTGAGTTCCCTAGAACAAAACCCAAAAAGACATATTTACTCTTCTGACAACAGCTAAGGTTTTGACAATTCTCTCGCTCGTATTATATAGAAATTTGCTCTCAATTCAAAGTTCTGCTATTCTAAGTGCCAATTTAAATTAAAAACACTTCTACAGATACTAAAAATAAACATGAATTTCCAATTTTTAAAGTTTCAATCAGCATAAAAAGTATGTGCAGTTTGCTCATCATGGAGTATCAGGAAAGTATGGAGACTTCTACAATCAAGCCTGCTTGGTGACTTCTCCTTTTCTGTTGTTTTAATTAGAAACATACAGCTGAAATCCTTTTGTTATGGATGGAAAGCAAATGGATGAAAAAAACCCTGAAGTGGGTTGTTATATATGTCCTCTGTTTTTTTTTGTTTTATTGCTGTGGATGCTGCTGTTAACACCCAGTTTACTTTAGAAATTGACCTAAGAAGTTATTCGCCCATTTCATCAGCTCAATTATAAACAGAAGAGACCCCATCTATAACAGAAGCAAGATGGGATCTGTCAACACTTGCATCACAGGGATGACTTTTACACTGTTAACTGGATGAAAGCTTTGAACCATTCCCACGCGTCCTATCACTGGATCCCAGGGAGAAGAGATCAGCACCTCCCTCTCCACTTCCCCTCCTCAGGAAGCTGTAGAGAGCAATGAGGTTGCCCCTCAGCCTCCTTCTCTCCAAGCTAGACAAACCCAGTGTCCTCAGCTGTTCCTCAGAGGACATGCCTTCCAAACCCTTCACCAGCTTTGGTGCCCTCCTCTGGACACATTCAAGGACCTTAACATCCTTTTGAAACTGTCG